ATTCTCTTTTGTGTTTCACTACCTTGCAGGGATGTAAAAGTGTGTGCAGCTCAGAGAAATGCTGGGGCAGCAGAACATTCAGGAACATTTGTGTTTCAGTGCTAAGCCGTGCAGGCACCAGAAATGGTATCAGCTTTTGTTATTATGGTAAAAAACATTCAATGAGAATTAAGTCTGCTAAACCTTGGGTTTCAATGGATGTGGACAATAACTGATTTTTACCAGAGTTGATAACAAACACAGCTTTAAAATAAGGCATTGTTTTGTAGGCTTTGTTCTCAATCACATTCTTCCTCATGCTGAGCGGAGGATTAAGAGTGTTATCCTAATGTGACTGCAATGAATGGCAAGCACACTTATTCATGCTGAATGAAAAATACATCTGCATGTTTGAAATGTTTGAAAATGATGAAATACAGAGTAAAAACCGAGCAAATGTTTGCAAAGACTCTGCAAGTGTTTTAATCAGGAACTGAGATATTTGAGAGAAAATCTTTTTCAAACCAAACCTCTTTACCTTGCTGATGAATAGCAATTGTTATTGGTCTCCTTTGTACTATCTCATTCAAATCAAATACACACTGCAGCATCCGCCTCTTTCAGAGTCAGATTTACAAATATCATATTTTGACCATAATCGAAATATTCGGTTATTTTCAAAAGCTTTTTTAGTCTGATGCTTCGATTCATTTTAAACAGACCTTTCAACAAAAGGATACCCAAAATCTAAATATTGGATTGTTCTTTCTTAGTAAGATCCCATTTTCATTACAATTGGGGTCTTACCTTGACTTGAAGATGAAGTCCATGCTATCCTTCTGGACAACAATCTCTATTACTTTTTTGTAAAAGTCCTCCTTATCTTCCTCTAGTTTCAAAAGTCTAGTTTGTTGTTTGCGTCTATACCTTCTCTGCGTAGAATAACAGTAGCAACAAGAACCTGTGGGCTCACGTGCGCCCCCTTCAGTGCGGCAGAGGTTATGGCTGCCTCCCCTGGTGCTTTTTTCATTGTATGATGAGACCAGCGAGCCTAAATATCATATGTACGTGAAATAAGTTATTTAGAGACTATGGATGGCGAGGATAAATGTAATAAAGGGATCTACAAACATTACATTGGTGACATACAGTGAGATGGTGCAGGCATGCGCTTAGGGCCCGCTTTCCAGCCAGTTTCTGTGGGGTGACGCATTCTGAGGTGAGGCAGAGCTCATCTGTGCCTCACCTCACCCCACAGTAACTGGCTTGAGCGCGCTCACAAAATAAGTGCCCGCGTTAAATTAGTGCCCGCGCTCCAGCCAGTTACTGTGGGCTTACGAGAGGCAGAGCTCGTCCCTGCCTCACTCCTCATCGCTCCCATGTAGTTGTAGCAGAGCTCGTCAAATTTGCTGATTTTAACTATAAAAAGCGATTGGAATCATACATAAATCACATTTACAACACAGATCAGTGGAGACATTTTATTATTATTACTATTTAGTTTTTCTTTAGTTGTTTTTCCATTACATTGGAGTATGACATGGTGAGGCTCTGCCTCCCCTGACTGCACGTCGCTGGAAATTACCCAGGTTATTTAGCTGTGAACATGATAACCTGTATTGGGCAGTTATCTATGAAACCTTGAGTATGATGTTAGTCTAAACAAAGGATATAGATATTCGTCAATGTATCCTATTCAAACGTTTGTGTGAATTGTCATGATTAGAATATTATTTTTTGTTTTTGAGTTATGGCAAAAACTGTTCTTGTTTTGTGAGGTCACAGTGACTTTGACTTTAGGCAGTTCATCCTAGAGTCCAAGGGGACAATTGTGTCATAACTTAAAGAGGCCCTATACATATATGTAGTTTTTGCCTCTACTGCAGTGCCAGGGTATATGCAGGAATCCTGAAGTCAAATTTAATACCTTTTAAGACCTTTTTTAAGACCCTTTCCATACATTTTAAGACCTCATCGCAACTTCGAGTTCTAACCGGTTACATTGGCCACACACTTTAGCTCACATTTACTATATTGATTGTAAGATAGCACAACTAAACAGAGTGCAGACAGACTACTGAAGCCTCCTCTCCACATGAACTTCAACCTCTCTGTGAAGGTCAGGTTTAATGCAGTATGCTGCTTTGTTGCTTCTGTACTCTGTGCTCTTTCATTCCAGTAAAACTCTTCAGAAACCATTAGAAACCAGTATTTGACCAATAAACAAAACAATTGACAAAACTTTGAACTATGAAATATATTAAACTTTGGTGAGCTTCAGCGGGGTAATGCCATATAGGAGCTCCCTCACAAATACCCAGGGGTTAAATTGGGCTGGGGCTGTCCGGGGCTAAGCCCGGCACATAGGACGATGCTCTGACGTCATCACCCTCACACATTTGTCATATGTTTACAAAAAACGATATATATGTTAAGACTTTTCTCGTTCTTAATATAGACTATATTTAGGGTCGATATGTGTTGACCTTACTTTAAAATAGCAGATCTCTGTGACCAGATATAGTTTGGCTTAGACCCCCGGCCCCACGAGGACGCATACAGTAAAACGCATACGCAAACGCAAAAAAGTCTTCCGTTCACACGCATTCGATTCATTAACGTGTCCGTTCACACTAGACCGCTGGAAATGCTGGAAACGCTGTAGTACATATGCCAGGCCTGTAAGTGGCGCTGCTGCCGCCACAAAATACACCAAAAGCAGCGAAGAAGACCCCAGAGCATGGTTGTCATGGTTGCCCTTCTGTTTATTCTCCGCGGTGGATGGTGTGTTCTCCTGCTGTATATCTCTCAGGTAGTCCACCAGCAGATAAGCCCCCTCCCCCCCCCCCCCCACACAGAGCGGAGCAAGGCAACGAAACTTAAAATAAGAAGCAGCATTTTATGGCATGCTATGCATGGGGCCACCTTGAGGGGGTTTCCCGACATGTTGTTTCAGTAAATTAAAGGGTGTTTCATGTTGTCGTTGCTGTGGACCTTCTTAATACCTTGGAAAATGCCGTTTAATACTTTTTAATAGCCTTAATTTTCGCTAAATTGATTTATCAACTTTTAATTCTTTTTAAGACCCCACGGACACCCTGAGTGCTTACACACTTTAATGTTCAAAAAAGGTCTTTATTTTTCTCATACTGCCTGGGCTGCAGCTCCTATTTTCACCCTTTGTCTAAAACCAGAGCTCAGGGCAGCTCTGATTGATCAACCGCTTAGCCTATCACCTACAGTGTGTTGGAGCCATACTTGCCAACCCTCCCGATTTTCGCGGGAGACTCCCGATTTCATTATCCTCTCCCGGTTTCCTCCCGGCGTCATATTTCTCCCGATTTCTGACAAATTGAGATTTACTCACGACTGTTTCCACTCGGACTTTAATACAGCTACACCATTGTTTGGTTTCCATGGTAGCGCGTCTCTTTAGTAGCGCGTCTCTTTAGTAGCGCGTCTCTTTAGTAGCGCACGCAACTCAAAGTCTGAGAGGGTGAGGAAGATAGTCACAGAAAAACTGAACAAGAATGGACAACTCTACCCTCTGCTCACTCCTTTCCTGTGAAATACAGGTCCAGCCCACACATATGCTCCATCCCCCCCCACGGTGATTTTGAAATGCTCCCGATTTCTGAGGTCTCAAGGTTGGCAAGTATGGAGCATTAGACAAAGTAAGCGTGAGTGTTACTGTACGTATTGATATCACTATGTCACGGAAGCAAACAAAGGGAAAACAGGAAAGGGAAAACCCAAAAATAGGGCCCCTTTAAAAATAATCTTGTACATTGCAAACACACAGAAGCCATTTCTACCTTAAATGTCCTCACATTCAGGAAGTATTTCTATTTGGTAATATATTGTAGAGTCTACCTACTGATTTATGTTTTCTATGAACTTTACAACATGTGACATCTGGTGAGTCTAATGTTGGACAAGAGGAGTCATGATTTAAGCAAACGATCTAACTAATTAGTTTCTCGTCTCTGCCTGACGTCTGCTTCTGATCCTCCTGGCCTTCTCTGTCACTGTGGGTGTATCCAGTGGAAGGAGCTGTAGCTCTTGATCAATGGTTCTCAACTATGATGTGAGGGAACGCAACACAATTAGCTGTGGATCGGGGGAACTTGCCTCCTGTGTCGTATTGGGGGCAAGGAAATGAAAATGTGGCAATTAATAAGCAGGAAGTGCTATACCGTCATTCCTTCTCTAATGAGCCAATCTGGTAATTCTGTGATTGAACTGCATCAAAGGAGCAATAAATAACTCTGCACAGACTGGTCAGGAACTACATTAAATTGACATAATATCAAAGGACAGCTGGATATGACATGCCCAACCCACTGTCCTACAAATTACTTTGATATTCTATGAGAGCTAGAAGTCGGCCAGAATGCCTGTAGAGTGTGACAGCTAATCCGTTTACATCTCAGATTATGTGTTTGCATTGAGCATTTATTACATTAAAGGCCATCCTAAACCAGCTGTATAGAATGGAAATGGACAATACATACCCCCAATAGTGTGGCTCCAGTGATGCTGACTTGTTATCCTTAGCCGCATTCACACCGCAGGACTTTCCCTGGTACTTTGGTTCTTTAGTTCCGTTAGTACCAATAATGTCGCGTTCTCACCGCCGGGATTACTCAGTGCCGGGAACTCTTTTGGCCATTTTCAGTCCCTGCTAGAGAGGTGGTACGAACCAGGTGATAAAAGAGTGCCAATTTCTATTCTATTTCTATTGGCTGGGCGAATTGCAAACCACGCCCGTTAGACACAGATTTTTTTTGTTAGGCAGCCATTTTTTCCCTCGCTACAAAACCACATCCACACCTGAGCGAGTCCTTTTTTGTACTTTAAAGCAGTTATGACCACACGTACTACAACACCGGAGCTGTGGAATGATGAGGAAGTGTCGGCGCTTCTGGCAATTTACTCCGAGGACGGGATGCAGCAGCTTCTACAGAAAGCAGTTCCCAACTCCAAATGTTTTGAGCGATGTTCGCAAAAGCTACTTGAGCTGGGAATCGTGCACAGTGCACACGGATGCCGGGAAAAAATAAAGAAACTCAGGTAGGACTATAACAAAATTAAAGACCACAATAATAAGAGTGGTAACGATTTTCTATTGTTATTATATATATATATTGCCACTGTTTTTGAATACTGACACCTAACTTGCACTAAGGTGTGTCTGCTGCTATATATATTGCCACTGTTACATTGTTTTGAAACTACTTACACTTTATTTTACATTTCACACTTTTATTTAACTTCAATTTACATGCATACGACACACCTGGAACAGCGTGATGCCGTTATGTTATGTCTTGACTGTGCAATAAAACAAACAAACTGGCGAAGCTTTATTTATTGTGTCCCACCCCAAATTTGCTGAATAGAAGAATGTGAGAGCAGACAGGTGTCGGTGGTTGAATTTATCTACAATGTTGCAACCTTGTGCAGCAATGGCAGGGGCAGAAACACAAGTCTTACACACATAAACACAAGTAATTTATCATGTCATTTGTTTTAGATAAATAAGGGGAAAAACACCAAACAAGGGTTAATGTCCTTTTCCAAAATCAGCCTGAGGGGGTAATATATAATAAATACATAAAGATAAAGTCCATTGTTATAATGGGGTATTTTATTTGTAAATTACCCTTATTACCCTTATGAACTCCATCATGTCTGAGGTCGGAAAGTAAACAAACGCCTCATACAGCGGGTGGGCTTTATACCCCCTCCCCCCGTGTAGTTCTTTTTCTCTCGTTTTTTTTTGTACTCGCCGTGAAGTGGTTTTGCGGCCTGCCAGTAAACCTAGAGAAGAAGAAGACGAAGTGACGTCAGCGTAATCTTGCCTCAGGGAAAGTACTGCGGTGTGAATGCGATTGGCACTAGCCCCCTGGCGGATTCAGTGCCGTGGTACTTTAGTGCCGGCACTAAAGTACGGCAAGTCCTGCGGTGTGAAAGCGGCTATTGTCACAATAAGTCATTCACACAATTAGGCTCAGTAGAAATACATGGCTGAGAGTCCATGCTCTGAATTGCATTGCCAGCCATCAGATAGTTTCACATTTTATGGAACAATATGGTCATAAAACACAGATACAGTCAACTGTATCTGTAGCCGGGTAATTCTCCAAGGTAACTGATGCTTCCCTGTTATGGCAAATAGAGGCGAGTGGATTCCAATATATCTGCTATATTTATTCTTCTTGTGGTCCATTTCAATCGCCTCACTCTTTTTCTGAGCCAATTAAAGACTAAAACCAACAAGCCGTTGCTCCTTTCTAAGACAGGCTGCAAAGATGAAAAAAGAACATCCTTTTATCTACTTTCTTTTGGGGCTCAAGGAAAAACTTTGTTATGGCATTTTTTACAGTTTTGATGTCCAATTATCAAGTTACTCTTTCAATATACTATTCTTGTAACAGTAATGGACTACTGCCAAACACCCACTGTGGCTGGATTAACACAAACCAGACACAACACAGACGACTCATAGGGTAGAGAAGTATTGGCAGGAAAAACAAAAGAATGAGATGATGCGAGTCAGAGAGCAGGGACCTGTTACCCACCACAGGTGGTCAACCAGACGCAGCTGATCACTAGTGAGAAAGACATGGTTTACTGGATTACAGCTACCCTTCTGGACATGGCTCTCCAAACAGCTGCTCAAGTACATTTCAGCCTCAAAATTATAACAACCAAGGATATTAAGGGGCAGTTTCAACAAATCCAAACAGGATTAGAGACTGAAAGCTTAATTTGTTGTCTTATGTGATAGTATGCAGTAGTAAGATTAAATGCAATAAAGAAGCAATAAAATCAGTGAGATCATCTGTTGGTTGAATAAAACCCCACAATGCTGCAAAAGATAAATCACATCCGATCACATACCTGCACTAACCATCTTCCCACGTGTCTCACCTTCTCTAACGGTATATCCCTCCTCATGTCCAACCTCCAATCAGCTGTTTCCCCATCAGGCTCCATTAGAGAGCACACAATGAGAACAGAAATGAAAAAGCTTTCTTTGGGATCTTTTAAAAAAGCCTCCAAAGTAGGTTACAGGAGAAAGTAGGCTGCCAGAAATGCTCGTGAGACCCAAGGAGCTACTGTTGTATCACTCAAGAGGAGTGGCATCCCACTTCAGGAGTTCGCATAAAGAGACGGATACAAATATGGTATTTGTGATGCAGCAAGTAGTGCGTAATTGGCTTTTAAAGTTCTCTTAAAGCAGAGGAATCATTTAGAGTGGGCTAGATCGCAAATGTGAAGCCTTGAATGAAACACTTCTAGATCGGAAACATTCCAACACCACATTTATTTAGCCTTTTTTAATTTGGAGTTTTTGGAATTTAATCCCACATACAGTTAATAATGTTCGCTTAGTAAAGATCAATGACTTTCTCTTATGGGAAGTTTAGTGCGATGTAACGTAGAAGTCTTAGAAGCAAATGCTAGCATGCTAATTTCCCCAATATCCCCACTTATTACATTTGAATTAGAATGACATTTGTTATAGATAATTATAGTTCTGTGTGGGGCAGAAGAAACATACTGTTATGTAGCAGTATTGCAGTGACCCATACTGTAGCTTTAATTATAGACTTCCAATTATTTGATTAGCATCCAGCCAGGATGTAAAGCGGAGGATTTTTGAGAAATGTAATTGTAAGTAGAATTAATGTGTCTTGTGTTTGGATTGTACTATGGCAGGCGCATTGTTGGATGGTCAGGTAAAGTTGTGAAGACATTCTAAATGTAGCATACGCTTAAAAGATTTTAATTATTTGGTGGACTTTTCTTCAAGGTAGCTAAAATAAGTCTTAATGACACTATAGTTCACAGCAGTAGGCCACATTCGCTTTTATGCCAGTTCACTTGTGAGCATTCAAGTGGGTAGTATTTTGAATGGTGAAAATAAACTAAAGACATGGAATGCCAGAAGACCAATAAACTAACCCTAATCTGGCTAAATAGTTTTTTCAAATATCGGTATTGAGTCACAACTCAAGAATTGGTGCATTCCCTAAATCAAAGCTTAACAATAGCTTTTTTCTTCATAAAACTGATTCATTTCTCATCTCAACAGTGATTCGTAACCTTTTCAAAACAAGGCTGTTTTGATTGAAAGCAATACAAGTTTTCCCGCCAGAATAAAACCAGCGGGGGTTTGGCTGCAGTTGTGAGGTAAACTCAATTCCTCGAAAAGTGCTGGTAACACTGCTGAAATGATGACTCACCATGATAAATGTAAATGAATTGTTATCGTATTTTTCTCCATGGCTGAAACTACACACGTCTTGTCAGAAGCGGAACAGCGTGAAAAGGTTAACTTTGATCTCCAAGTTTCATCTCTGCTATCTCTCTTCCTGTCTCTACATTATAAATGTGGGGCGAGGTATGACAAATCTTCTTTTGTTGAAAAACAACAGTGCAGTGACTAGACATAAATTAAGGCTTGGTAAAAGTGTCATTAGACAGAACACATTCGAGAGAAACGTTTTTAAACCCATTAATCCAGATAAGACATAGCGCTGACAGCATGAATTTATCAACAGGAATGTTTAGGACGCCTCTATTTCACTTCAGGCCCCCAAACAAAATGCAGGTAAACAGAGCAAAGGTCTGTGCGAATTCAAGCCTAGAGACAATGATAGGATATTATTAAATGATAGCAGAACAAAATGTTGTTGTAGTTGTTTTTTTCTTTGCGTGAGAGACAAAACTAATGAGAGACAGAACTAGAAGTCTACAAAGAAAATAACTGATCCACTGGGAATTCACATGATCAACAGGCAACAAACTACCTTTAAATATTAGTACAAAAGAAGAAGAGAAATGGATGGCCTTTGAATCACAACTAATGCACTGAGAAAAGAGAAGAAAAGCACAAAGTATTTTTCAAACATGAACATAAAAATATTACTAAGTGAATTTCTTCCACAGGGGTCAGACATTCATGAATAAATATGTTGCTGAAAATGTCATTATGAAGACAACCTCAAGGATGCTTTCCGAGATATGAAGTATCTTCTTTATTTAATATTAGAAAACACATTTTCTTCAAGCACTGCGAAATAATTTCCCCAAAAGTGAGCATGAATATTGTCCATGGAAGTGATATCAATTACAAGCAGTTTCAATATATTCACATCTGTATTTTAAACTGTTTAATGAATTAGATTTGATTTTGAGCAATGCAAGTTTATAATTAGCCTGATCAGGAACACATCTTTGTACTTCAGTATACTGTTTCTTAATAAAGACGTATACACCGCCCCACAGGCACCCATTCACAACAGCTTTCTCTACTCTGATGTTCCTAATTAAGCCTTCTTTGTTTCCCCGCTTCGGTTCAGTACTTCGTGTGCCCTGGATGATTGGATTAAGGTTTTATGTTTCTTTATTATCATGTGCACAACAATTACAAGACTACAACTACGTTTTTGACAATGGAGCCCTTTAGCAATGCTCATTAAATATATATGTACTATAAATACATAAAAAGGAGAATCACTAGAGTAAAAGCTAAATAAGAAAGAGGACATAAGAAAGAGCAAGTTAAAATATTTGATGTATATAAACTATGGCTTATAGTTTATATACATAAACGTTGTCCATTTTGAATTAGCCCTCAGCAAATTCTAAAAGTATAATGGAATATAGCCCACACCTGAAACTTATCCACACCTGCTTTTCTTATATTATACTTCTTAAATATATATGTAAACATATATAACACAGTAGTATTCATGTGTTAATAAGCCCTTAATTAAAGTTTAAAACATTTTCTAACAAATCTTAGTTAATAAAAATAACCTAATAACTTATTTGCATAACACGCTTGAAATACACCCCTTCACATTTCCCCTAACAATCTGAGGCTTCTGTTTTAAGGGGCAAGCTGCCAACACTTTTGTAACAAAACACATGAAACCCTATGGAGAGCTGTGATGTAGGCTGTTTTTTATTAAAGCATATTCAAGTATTAAGCATAATTTACCTACATTTGATTGAATTTGCTAACTTATAACTTAACTAATGAGGTAATATACCTCACCTCTAGTGAGTGGCCCAGCCCTTCCTATGTTTTCCTTCATGTGGCTCTCAGTGAAAACACTTTGGACGCCCTTTGTCTAAAGTTAACCTAATCGTTTAATGAGGCCCGATAAACATTCACTAAACAAAACTGTTGGATTGAAAATATCCAAGTTTGCAATCTGTTGTGAAATGTTAAACAGGAAATATAACGATGAATGAAGTATGCACATATAGTACTACTTACCTACATATGACTTGTGCGTGTGGATGAAAGAGGGTATGCAGCGGATGCCTGGCTTCTCTTGCCCCCCCCCCCCACAGGAGTTTGTCTCTTTGAACTGGTGTTTGGTATGAAACCTGGGAGTGGGAGCCCTTTAGCCTAAAGGTAGGCTCAGTTGGGAGTGGCAAACCTCCTCTCATGTTTTAAGTTTTGGGGTAAATGATGGATGGATTTAAATCTATCAATGTTAAATTCAAACCAAAATAAAAACTTCAGGTTTCCTGGCAGACTTTTTCTCTGAAGAGCTGCACACACTCGGTTGCTTCTATATTACCCTGAAAAAAACGAATGCAGATTGAAAAAATACAACCAGCTCTAGATCCTAACTTAATAACACGTATAATGTCCAGTTTGTGTTCAAAGTATTTTTAAAGAAGTGCCCATTTATTCAACATCATGCTCCATGTTAAGGCTTTAGTTTGTGGTTCTGTTCAATTGTATAATGTTATACTGTGTTTCTGATATTTTTTCCACCCCAACCAAGAGTAGACATGTCATGTTAGAAGTGTCTAATGTCAAAATTATTGATACACAGAGAGGAAGATCTAACAAATCTAATGTGTGTGAGTAATCATTTTATTTTTTTTATATTTCAAGGTCACTTTTCATGGGTTTGGCATATATTTGTTATGTCTATATATATGAAATATATGTGATCTATATATTACCCATTTCTTTTTACTTATTTCACTGATGAAAGAGATATACAGTAGAACGTCTCTGATTAAAGCAGTTTTGTTCAGAAGTAGGAAAACACATAACTATAAGACGGTATGCAAATCTTTAACCCCAGCAATCATCTCAGATAATATAAGTTGATTATGTCTGACGCCTGGAATCTGATTTGAAAAATTGCAAATAATAATCAGACATAGTCAGTCACAAATTCTCAGAAAAAACAATTGGACACCTATAGGTAGTAATACTTGGATGTCTGCGTCTGTGATGATACATTTAAATATATCAGATTAGACTTCCACGGAATATAATATCTGCAACTTAACTTAACAGAAGCAGTGATGGCAGTTTTGAGCAGAGCAATATTTCACAGAGGAAGCTGCAGTCAGACGGGTTCAGTTGGCAGTGACGGCAGCAGACATTTCCAAACAGAGGCATTAGCCAGCTTAATGTGAGGCAGAACTACTGTCTGCACCCCAAGGATTTTGTTATGATGTCAGTTTTAGGTGTCGGTTTAAGTAATTCCAAGACTATTACCATCTGTTTGTGCTTGTCACTGCGTGTACTAGGCCCTTAAACAAACACTATTTACTCTGCAGTTCCCTGGGCAAACATCTGCTCAGCCGCGATAGGTACTAAATATTAGGCAGCAAAGCCTCCCAAAGCTACAGGGAAGTGGCAGAATCAATTATTCTTGACATTTTCCATGGGGGTGATAATGCAGGCTTTCTGTGCCAGCAGAAAACATTGTTTATTTACTTGTTTTATTTCCATACTCTTTAATTAAATGTGTTGCTGTACGGGCACAGCATCTTACAACTCAATTGTGAATAAATTAACGTTCAATCTAAATTCTAGATATTCTGGTGGTATCCATGTGATTTTAACAATTTCTCTCAAATCCGTCTCTCACCTTTCATTTCATTTCACTCTCTATAGCTCGCAATCACATGTTCCTATGAGTACCTCCAACTGCGAGCAGAAGTGTGAGCAATATGTAATAGGATGGCAATGCGCTATGCAACGAGGAAATCATTATTACATTTTATTCTGTTCATGTGTAGAAAGATGGCTTACAGACTCTGGGATTTGACTTTATGTTACTATCTTTCTATTGATGTATATGAGCTTACATTTTTGTACATCACATCAATAACCCACATTCTGGGTCCATGTCAGTGTTATGTTCCCATTTTACGCCATGTGTAGTCCTTTGTAGAGAGATTATATGGAACCTCTCTTTAAAACATTAATTCAGTTTATGATCTTTTTCTTCAGCCCAAGGTTCACACACCACTCCCTGGACTGGAGTATTGAACAAACCTGAACATGACCAGTGGGCGCACTAAGCCTACAATCCTGGTCACACATTTGGGTCTGCACGCATACCTTTCGTGTAACCCTTGTGAACATGGCGGAAGAAAACAAGCGTTGCAGGGACTAATGCGGACCCTTGGAAACTTTATCAGCACAACATATGAATGACCTTTTGCTGTGATGTATTTATATGACAAACAAACAGCAACACAGGGCATGTCAGGGCATGCTTCTATAATACATTAGTTCTATCAAACAAACAACTGTTATGGCTGTTAAATAAACCATACCTTTACCATATCAGCCAATGCAGTCATTTTAAAGCCCTGTAGAATATTTAGTGTGTGTGTGTGTGTGTGTGTGTGTGTGTGTGTGTGTGTGTGTGTGTGTGTGTGTGTGTGTGTGTGTGTGTGTGTGTGTGTGTGGTGTGTGTGTGTGTGGTGTGTGTGTGTGTGTGTGTGTGTGTGTGTGTGTGGTGTGTGTGTGTGTGTGTGGTGTGTGTGTGTGTGTGTGTGTGTGTGTGTGTGTGTGTGTGTGTGTGTGTGTGTGTGTGTGTGTGTGTGTGTGTGTGTGTGTGTGTGTGTGTGTGTGTTGTGTGTGTTTGTGTGTGTGTGTGTATTCACGCTTGCACTGCCTCACACTGATTATATCAGATAATGTCATGTGTTTTGCAGGCTGCTGTTAAGGTCTGGGCACATGGAGGAATGCAGGCGAGGAGAGGTGGATACAAACAGGATTGAGGAAACAGAGATACATAAACAATGAAGAGCACAGGGATAGATAAGGCCTGCATGGTGCTTCCAGTGGGGTTGTTATGAATAAAGATACATCTTGATTTGGACTTCCACTGTGCTACTTCAATGAATAACTTATTAAAAAAGAAAGATAGACAGGCAACAGCAAGCATTATCTGCATGAGTGAAGAAAAGGAAATTAAAACTTTTTTCTATAGCATGATTTATTTTGCTGTTAATGGTTTGTCTTACATGAGTAAAGTTTAATTTGATGTACAATAATTAAAGTATTTGTGTAACATTTTGATTTATGCTTAAAGGTGGGGTAGGTAAGTTTGAGAAACCGGCTCGAGATACACTTTTTGTTATATTCCATGGAATGCTCTTAACATCCCGATAGCAATGAATATCTTAAGTGCTTTGACAAAAAATCCATAAAAAAACGTCATCTGTGGAAGCCGTAGTACTGTAAAAAGCACGACCAATCATTTTAGCCGGCCCGGCTAAAATAGCTGGATGGCCTACCTGCCTGTCAGCCTTCCATCTGTGCACAAACTTATCTCGTGCCCTCATTGGTCATGTGCGCGTTCGTGTGTGTTGGAGGAGGGGCTCTGTAAGGAAGTGGCAGATTTTTTCCGGCTGTGTATTTTCAAATTCTAGCTTACTCAAGCTGGTTTCTCCAAAATTACCTACCCCACCTTTAATGCTATGTAAATTTGTGTCAAAAGACCACTACCAAAAAAAATTGTAAGGTTTTACTTTATCAGCATTTTGAAAACGAACAAAAAAACAATTGTACATTAACACGCACAAGGACATGGGGCATCCACAATAACTACTTTCACTACGTTTAAAACATCTGTATGGAGCCCCTAAAGGTTCATGGTCTTTTACACACCTCCTTCACTGTGTTTACAAACAGCTGAATAGAGATCTAGGCTGCTATGTTTTAACCACACACACACACACACACACACACACACACACACACACACACACACACACACACACACACATTGAGCTGCCCGATTATTCCCCCTATTACTCGTTTTAAGGAGATGTCCGGTAACCAGGGCGCATGATGTGTGTGTGTTTGTGCTCTGCTCAGCTCCGCTCTGTGTGTTCGATGTGTGTGTGTGTCCGACACCAGCATTTGTTTTCAAATTACCATGAACAGTAATTTATACACATCTGGCTAACTCCATAGGTATATGTGTACTCCCAAGTGAAAGAAATTAGTTTAATCTTAATCTCGATGTAGTGCTTAGCCCTGTCGGAGTGCACCGGAACGAACGACACTATCATATCTTCTGAACACACACACACACACACACACACACACACCTTCTTCATAAAACTAATAAGAAAGAAGAAACCTTAAGAAAGTATATCGTGCGCACAAGATAGTTTTATTTTTATTTTATATGAGCCTTTAGGGGCTCCGTACATCTGCATCATCCTCATTGCCAATCCTTATGACCCAGACCAACTGAATGTATTCACCCACAGTAACTTTAATTCTCAGCACTCACAGACACAGCAGTGTTGGACAGTCACAGGTTGTTCTGTTCTGGGCTCACAGAGCAACGGTCAGCTAATGATGATCCCTGGGTTGACTGAAAGAGTGAAAAGCAACACGCTGTAGAGTTTGCACCAAGTCATTGAAGTATGGATGAAACTCTTGAAAGTCTTGAAGATAGCCTGCAGGGCGGCTCTTAAGTTCTGAGATACTTTGTATTCACTTGGCACCAGGCCATGCCCTTGTTATGAAGTGTGAGAGGGAAGTAGTGCCGAGTCTAATAGTCATGAGCTTAACAGGCATTTCATAAAAAAAACTGTTTTAGACACATTTGAATCTTGAGCTGATGACGAAATGTGAATGAATCACCAAGGTTATTACAAATCATACCGAAAGTAACACAAATACCTGTAGCCAACTTCATGGTAATCCTTCCAATAAATACTAAGAAATGTCACTAAGTCCATCAAAGTCATTTGGATTATTTCTCTCTGAACCATTGATATCTGTACCAAATGGGATGGCAATCCATCGCTTTGTTGACAATATATTTCACTTAAAATTCAGAAAATTACGAAATGTAATGACATTCCTCATTTAATTTCGCATATACAAAAGTTCATGGCAATCTATGCAATGACTTTTGAGATGGTACTGGTAATTGTTTCGCTGAATAAAGGCTGCCATAAGTGGATAATTCCCTTTCTACAGATACACAAACACAGAGAGACACTCCCCAGCAGTGAGAATGACACAATACAAAGGGCTTAGCATTGTTGTAACACAGACAATGACATCCAATAAAAGCATTTGAACTTTAAGCTTGTTCGCTCCATTGAGAGGGGTGCTGCTTCCACAGAAATCAAATAACTCAAGTCAACCTTTGCCACCACTTACGGTAGCTGAGTGCAATTCACCTAGAACAAGGCCCTGTAATTTAAAAATCACCTTTGTGTTGCTGTCTGGGGGAGTCAGTGCTGTTCAGCTGTCAGTGACTGAAAGAGACGTTGTTTACCGCAATCACAGTGCGAGCAGAAGCACTGCAGATTCCACATTTTAAATCCTGCAACTTAGCTTGACCTCTCCAATGGCCAGGTAGAAAAGCTCAGCAGAATGCCACACTGAGATCAGAGCTCTAGGGGATGTAGAGGATGACAAATAAATAACCTATTTAATGTGGTCGGCACAGGGAAACAGATGTTGGCCCATCACACACTGAGGAGGTAGAAGTCATGGGGGAAATAATCTTCCCATTTTTTTCCTACCTGAAAAATTCAAAATTCAATACATTTTTCTTTCAATAAGATATCCCCCTGTGAATTGTGGTGGTAAACAATATTAACTTTTTCAAACTCTTCAGTATATGGTCTATTTTTCAGTGTGAATATGTGTTCAAAAGATCCATACGGCCCTACATGATATACTATAAATAAACACAGCTCTATTATAAGAAAAATAAATAGAGTTTTAGCACTGAACTACAGTTAGAAAGAACGTGTCCTGGGCTGACAGGAGTTTCTCAAGTGTTCCTCACAAAGTTTTTTCCAAGTTTTGATTGACACTGTACTGGTATAAGTAATCAGACTGATCAGATATTCTATAGTTCCTCTTCACATAGTCTCAATTCAAAATGTATGAGCCCATCCAATTTTTGATTTCAGCCAAATTACAGCTGAGATTTGAACAGTTTTTCCAGACAAATACGTAATTAATTATTAATGCAGTTGACCAGGTTTGGCTGGGGTCAAGCAGAATGTTGTCTTTATTAGAGAGCAGTCTGCTCACACATTGATCAAAAACACAGAAAAAACACAGAATTCATGTCTTGGAGTTCAGCCTGACACATTACTTATTCATTAGAGCTGGGAATATCTTGCACTAGCCTGCAGTGTTCAGTATACTCTGCATCAGATTACCAAGAAAATCTGAGACTTGTAGGATCTCAATTTCAGCCATAGCCTTTTGTGATTAATAACATTTGTCACCATATCTGAAGAAGTGCAGGGTAGACTATTGTTGCTCTCACAAAATGTTTGCACAATGAGAATTTTGATAGAAAATTAATTAGTGTGGATATAATAACAAAGTGGGTAAAGGCAAATAATAAAACAACTCTAAAATAAAAAAAAGACAACATTTAATCCACAATCTAAGACAATATCAAGTCTAATATTAACCCGTTTAATAGTAACCAGGACTGTACATACATAAAACCTGCACTGTTTTTATAAGCTTTAACCTGCACTCACATCTGCACACTTATGTCAATATATTTAACAATTCAAATATGTATATATGTCCATTCAAATGACCAACGTTTTACGGACATATCTGTTTCAAGTTGCTTTATCACTTTATTTTCAAATTGTTGTATTATTATTATTTGTATTTGTATTGTATTTTATCTTTATTTTTTACCTTGTTTGAATCCTGTTTTTCAGTCTGACCCTGTTGCTGCTATAAACGCCTGAACTTCCTCACGGGGATAAATAATTTGCCATCTTATTTTATCACAATATCTATGTGTATGTGCAGCTGTAATTAGATATTACCAAGGTAATTCATTAATATAAACCTAATTTCTAATGTTGCTAACATAACATCACGTTTGGTGTGGATATCACGTGGAGTTTGTGAGGAGTCGAGACACTCAGTCACGGGCGACAGCACATGTGAACTCAGACCACGTTGGACTCATGTGAATCTGTGTTCATGGGGTCTCTGGAGGACCCCTGTGTGATCAGGCTCTCATCTGGCTCTGCCTCTGCCTCAGCCCAGGGGACGGGGCTTGTGTTAACACCATGACAGCATACGTAAGCTCCACCACAACAGAGTTAAAATCACATTAAGAGATGGCCTATTTGGCTGCAGCTCTTTAATTAACACCAATGAGGCTTTCACTTTCCGTTGAGTATTATGTTCTATCATCACTCCATCGATTGCTTATACTGTATGGCCCGTGAGATTGTATTTCTCTCCTGATGGAATTCAAGATGAGTTGTGATTGGCTGCAACTGCACAGCCATTTTATAATGAAATTCAGGGCACATATGGCATGTTATTATTTTATTTTTGGAAACAGGGCAGAGGAACAATTGTACAACTAAAAGTAAAAGTATCAGTGCAGAACTATCTACGGTACAGATGGTCCTCATTATCATAGCAATGATATTTACATACAAATCAGAAATTGAAGGAATTACCCTGTCATTTCTGCCTTTGCGAGGTGATCAAATTAAACAAAAATAAAAGGCAAATTAGTTATCTGATTATTTGCTGTCTTACAAGTTACAATGTATATTGTATATACTGTATATTGTAGCGTACACAGTATACTGTATGTATTTTTTTTTTCTATTTCTTTTTGGAAACATTTGCGATAAAGTAGATCATATGTTTTACCTGCCAAAAGATGTATCTACATAATCATCAGACAGTCAGTGATATTCTATTTTCTGCTCAAAGCAGATTTAATCAAACTGCATATCAAGCAATCAGAATGATTACGAAGTCTCCTCAATCCCACAAGATGCACTTCATGTGCTTTTTAAATACAACTGTCCATCCCAGAGGAGAAAAAGAGGACATTATTTCATTGGTTGTGCATACCGTACAACAGTGGTTCACACTGGTCTATAATGAGTGGTGAAAGTTGAGTATAAGCGCAAAAAAAAACCATAGGCAGAGCCATCAACTCCCTTATT